TGTCTGACCCTGCTTTTGGACTGTGATTTAAACCTGTTTGAACCTTGCTGCCTGATTTGCTCGGCTTGACCTCGGACTGCTTCTGGACTTTTGCTTGCTTGCGTCACGCCCCCTGGTCCTGCCGTGACAGTTCTCAAGTCTTTTTCACTTCTGTGAAATTTAACAGTGTATGGATTTGATAGCATTCTTTTTGTAATTTACCCATGCAGATCATTTGGTGCAAACAAAAGCGTGATCTGGATTAGAGTCACATTTGAGGAGGACAATTGTACTTTAAAGACTATCTGCAAGCAAAATCTCCACAGTGGTACTAAGCCTAGAATTTAGCATTAAGCAAATATTAGGTTGCTTCCTGGATGCTAAGAACAGCCACCTTTTTAATTTGCTTTTTTAAAAGGACAAGTGATTACTGAGAAAGCACCTTTCCTTTTATTTGTTTGGTGTGGGGCAGAAACCTAGAGCAGGGACTCTCCCAAAGGCTGAAGAAGGCTAGGTGTGCTTCCTGAGGTATTCTGGACCCAAGCTATTTAGGGCCAGAAAATGATTGAAAACCAAGTATTAATCATGTAAGATCAGTTAATGTGATTATTTAATTTATTTATTTATTACGAGATTCATAGCCTGCCTTCCCCGCGAGCGGGCTCAGGGTGGTTCACAAACTGGGTACGTATGCCAGTGGTTAAAACAGTTAAAAACAAGATAAAACAATCATTTATAGTCATTTATAACAATACAAGGTGCTCTAGATGTCTCAAAAAAGGTCTTCAGTAACAAGATCCTGATGGTGATGGTCCCAGATCATTGCTATCAGTTCCAGGCAGCAGTATCGTTCATTGTCACAGGGCCATCTCACTCTCCAATGTTACCTACACAAAAGCCTGGCGGAAGAGCTCCATCTTACAGGCCCTGTGGAACTGCGCAAGGTCCCGCAGGGCCCGAATCTCCTCCGGGAGCTCATTCCACCAGGTAGGAGCCGCCACCGAAAAGGCCCTGGCACTGGTTGCTGCAAATCTGGCATCTTTAAGGGCCTGGAGTCACCAGGAGATGTTGCATCCCTGACCGTAGTGCCCTTGGGGGAATATATGGGGAAAGACAGTCCCTTAGGTATGTCGGACAAGTGTTCTTTGTTCCCCTCCCCTATTAGGAGTTACTCAGCTGTGTTCTACACCAGCTGCAGCTTCAAAACTGAGAGCTGGACTGCAAGAGTAAAAAAAAAGTTTGCCATCTTTCAGGCAGCAGTACATTGCTTATTACCTCAATCCCTCAATAAGAACGCTTTCCTGAGAGTAAGCCCCAGTGAATAGACCTGAGTAGAATTCTGGGCAGACTTTCTTAGGATTGCACAGTTAAATATTGTCCTGCTCCTATCCCTTAATTACTGACTTTGCCAATATTTATCATGCTGATAACTGTGATTTACAATAGAAAATGATATCTAGAATCAGGCAGGTGGGTCATAAAGTTAGGAGAGGTTGATTTTAAATTGTGATTGTCTGCATAAACCTTTAAAAATAATAATTTGGTAAATGCTGTATTAATATTTAACTTAGCTACCATAAGAACTTTTTAAATTTGCAACAGCAAATCTGCCAGTCCTTAGTGTGAAAATGTTTTTTCAGATTTACATGTACTCTTTAGACTTCTGTGCTTACCTTGCTCATTTCTTAGTTACACAGATGTATTACTTTCAGTACCTCAGTAGTCTGTGGAAGTGTATAAACTTTTTATATTAATACATGAAGTTGAACTCTTGTAAAGGCATTTCTTCAGATGCTTGATGAAACTACAGTCATAATTATAGATGACAAGGTGACTTATGTAGCTCAGTCAGCCCGTAGAGGCCACTCACAGTGTGCTGCATAAAGCTGGACACTAATTTGACAATATATTTTCTTTCCTTAGTTTTGTAAGGGCTCACTGTAAGCACATCACAGTTGCCTGGCCTGGCTCTGCCAACTGTAGTTTTTTGTAACTTTATTTTCCCCCCTGTGTTTTACAGAATATTTATCTTACTGGGACTAAATCCCAATTTCACCCGCTGTATTCTTTTTTCCTTTAGAAACCGTGCTTCTCTTTAGAAATCCTAATTAGCTATTTTTAGATATTTCTTCCGTATCAGACATTTGCACTTTGTTTTGTTTTTTTCCAAATTGATGAAAAATAGCTGATCAAACATATGGAAGGATTTTTGAAGCCAATAAAATATTGAGGTTTTTAAATCAAAGATTAGATTAATTCTTCCGTTTTTACCACTATCAGGTAGATACTGATCCATAAAAATTGCCTTCTACCTATTCTGTATGGAAATTATTTCCTGTATTTTGCTGTCATAGTATGAGGATACTGAGGAATTTTACATAGATCTGATACTTTTAAAACTGCAGGTCACTTCCAAGCAATAGAAATATTAGCAGTTTTAAAAAATTCTCCCCCACCCCAGCATATTGAGTAGTACAGTTATTATCAACTTTCTACCCCAAAGGATGGTTAAGGAGTAAATATAAGCAACAAAATGGCTTCACCTAGATCCTCTACCTTCCTGACATATTCTTACCTTCATCTCTTATAGAGTGCTAAAAGGTGGATTACAATAGCTCCCTCCTGCATATTACGATAGTGAAAACTATTTGTATGTAGAAGAAATGTGAACTCTAGACAATTGAGAACTAGATAAAACATGTTTATATTTACGTGCAAATTGGCTTAAAAAATGTATTTGGTTCCATGTTCACATTTTTATTATCCCTTCCAATGTATATGGCTGAATTTCCATGGAATTTCCACATTTATTAAATTATGGATTATGTATTTTGAGCAAGCTGGAGACTTAAAAACATTTTTCCATAAGTATGGCTGGAGGTAAACAACCAATTTTAGTTCAGAAAATAGCTTCTGCTTCTGTCAACATGTTGTTTATTTTCTCCCTGAGATAAAAAGTTCAGTTTTCTGATATTTGTACCAAGATAAAGTCAGTAAACAAGATTAATATAGTGTGGAAAAGGTTGTCAGCAGCCCTGGCAAAGGAAATAAGTTGCCTGTACACAGAACATACTGTAAACTGAATAAAAGTGTCAGGTCCACCATGAGATAATGTGATCATGAACCTCTAACAAAGCATGACATAGGCACAGTCGGCTTTTCTTATAGCCACAGTGTAGAAAATGGATTACTATATTCCAGGGATACCCACTGGAATAGCATGAAAACCTCATTTTGAGATTAATGCAGGATGCAACTCAGGAGCTGAACCAAATGTTTACCTCCAGTGTTAAAGTAACTGTTAGGTTGTTAATGTTATAATCAGTAGGTCAAAGAAGTTATATTTTCAAAATCCTTAGAATTCCAAAGTTTGTTCATTTGTCCAGAGAAAAGGTGACCATTTTTCAAATATGGGGTCACTATGTTTATTTTCTTTTACTTCTCATTTTCCTATTTTTTTACTTCAGTAAAAATCCAGTAATTCTTACTTCCAGTGCCATTTATTATATACTTGAATTGTTACAGCTGTTACACAGTGTGTGGATGCCCATAATCAGTGTCAGGAGTCTATGCACTGGTCTTTAAACATTTTTGACCCAAGCCGCAAACAATTGTAACACTTTACCAAAAGTACTGTAGCATGCGTATGTAACCCTGTAGATTTAAAAATCAGACTTCTCCCACATGCACTGTTCATCTCTACAAAATAAAACAACAATAAAAGACTGGGAGTGAATATAAAGTGTCAGACCCTACAGAAAACAGATTCTAGGGCACAGGCCACTCATAGTCTGTGCACAGAAATTAACAGTATACTTAGATTTCTTAGTAGTGGTGCTTCAGTAGGATAAATTTACTTATGTTTGCAAATCATCATCCTGTTCATTTCTGATCATATGCCTTCGTCCTGCTATATCCCTTACTTGAATACCTGAACTTTACCATCTCTAGAGTGGTCATTGGTGTTTTGTGCTTATGCTATAGTGAGCACAATGGGACATCATGAGGATCATTTCAAATTTCTGTCATTTTAAGGGGTTTAAATCTTGGTAGGAATTGCCATTTTACAATTAGAATTCAGATCTGATCAAAATTGCTCAAACCGTGGGACTTCCTTTTGAGTTCATTTTTTCACATATTTGTGTCATTTGATTTTCATTTTAAAAGAATATGATTTTAGCAGAAGAGAAATATTGCTTTTGTATTACAAAGCCAGTCATTATGAATTGAGCTGTGTATCAGTAGGAAGCACTATATGGCTGCTGTAGCTTTCCATCACCTGTGGGATTGTTGGGCATACTATTTAGCAGTAGGAAGGGTCTGATCTTAAGAACCATTCTGTTCCCAAGGTGGCATATACACTTCTGTAAAAACTGTGCATCCAGTCACTCCCAAGGGACTTCCAAATCTCAGGAGCAATTTTTCTGGAGATATAGGAGGCTACAGTGGGAAACAGTAAAAATGCCTTCCAGTAAACTTGTTTCACTTTGTGTTTGGTAGAGTCCAACCATGGCCTGTTAATGTATCAACATAGTACTCATGATATGTACTGTAAATAAATACACATCTGAAAACAAAGCATGGTTCACATACTGTGCTGGGAATCCCCCCACCCCGCCCCCATAAGCTGCTCATCAGCCGGCAGCAAGGTGGGGCAGGGGGAATGTACCAGTGAAGTTGTTGAAGATTATTCTAGAAAAGGAGCAGTTCTGGAGAAATGAAGAACAAATGGATCCATGACCCCTTCAGGATAACTAATGCCAAGAGGCTTCACACTACATAGCACTGACTGCTTAAACTGGTTTGAGTTTTAGTATTTCAATCAAAAGATGTAAAATGTTCTATATAACTTTTCACATTTATATACATGAGCGAGAAATGATGAATAATGTCTTATTTTCTTAATTGTATAGAGCTTTTAATGGTTTCAAGGTTTGAAAAGGTATTTTGCATGCAGTAAGTATTCTGTACACTTAAAATTCCTCTACACAACTTATAAAAATTATTTATGCCACCTTTAGATTACTACGCCAGTCTCCTGCAGTACCAAGAAAGCTGTGCATTTGTCTCAGGAGTCTCATCACCATGAGTAAGCATCCTTTTTGGGCTTATCTTAATTTCTACTGCTTACTTTAAATGTGTCCCTGTTTTAATGACATTGGAATTTTACCTTAATTGTCCAGTACTATCAAGACTATTTGGAGTTTTAATAGTTCACTTAAAGCATGTGCAGTTGTTCCCAAAATTGTTATCAGGAAAAGTACATGTAGATTAATTCCAAATGGCAGTATTAAGGTTTCATTATACTTTTTTCATGTCTGTGGTATCTTCTAAAGTATCATAAAATCAGAAGTGTGGGAAGGAAATTATTTCTTGCTAATTTCTATGCTGCCAGTTTGCGAGTACCATCTCATAATCAAATCGAATAGCATTCAACCAGCCAAATTGACTTCCTTATTCCTGAGCGCTTATCATGAAATAAGTATATCCCATTGATTCTGTATCACAATTGGCTACCCTACAAAATTTTAACCATTCTTCATCATTAGGACCAATACAGGCATTAACATCAACAAATACAAGGAAAACACTATAACTATAACTAATCTCTTCCAGTAACCCATTCATTTCCTCCCTTGTTTCTTTTCCACTGTATATGTGACAGAGGAGGTATGTAAATTGATAAAACTATCAGAGATTGATCTCTTTAACACCAAACGGATTGCCAAAGCATAAGGAGAGGAGTATAGCTTTTGTATTTCCCCAAGATGAATAGAATTAGAAATTAAACAGCACAATCTTGCGCTAGGATGCACACCAAACTTCCCCTTTGGGGCACCAGCCACTAATGTCATGTAAGCCCGTCAAAGGAATGTCTTCAGTCAGCCACAGTTCCTGTAAAAGAATGATATGAAATTGTCTAAGAGAAGTATCCACTCCTGGAATTGGAACTGAAATTTTTATGGACTGTCCTGCAGTATTCCATGTCAGAATCTTTATCAGGTTATCTTGAGGCAACAGCTCTCAGAGAATTTTGACTGACTCAGGGTCACCCAGCAGCTGTATGTGGAGTTGTGGGGAATTAAACCCAGTTCTCCAGAGTAGAGTCCACCGCTCTTAACCACTACACCAAACTGGCCGAAGGATGGTAATGTGGCATTTCTTGTTTTGGAGGACCTTGCTGACCTGACAGTACTGATTTGACAAAAACCATCTACCGCAGCTATTTCTCGCAGAGTCAAGAACTTATACAAGATCAAGCAGAACTTGTGAATTTCTGACAACTCATCCACCTCCCACTTTCACTGGTTACTGAGGATATGGAGGTGCATCACAGGCCTGGTCAACACTTCTCTCCATCTGATAGAGTCAGTGTTTGGATTTGTTAGGTAGGAAGCTGTATTCTTCTGCAGCCCTGAATTTTAGGATCACAAATTACTAAACCATTAAGCTCTTCCTGTGGGAGAACTTGTCACAATATCTGGACACTCCTCCCAAGGAGCCAGGATTTTTGGCCAAGTTGATCCAGTCAGAAGCAGATAGACTTTCTAAACGAGATAAATGTAGGCAGACATGTGGCTGATGTGGCAGAAAGGTCCATGGCCTCAGCCATTGTCCTGAGAAGACATTCCTGGCTGTGTACGACTCCCCTCCTTTTGGAGATGTGCTGTAAAGTCAAAGACCTCCCCTTCAAGGGATCTGGCTGTTTCTCAGAGACCACAGACAAGTTTTTGTCTACAATCAAAAAGAATCATCAAACCTCAAAATCCTTTAGCATATTTTTATTTATTATTTTTATTTATATCCCACCCATCCCACGGTAGGCTCAGGGCGGGTAACATCATTATAATAAATACAATTTCAGTTTAAAACACAATAAAACATTCTAACTATTAAAACAATGGGTACAGCTTGAAACAGCATCAGTTAACTATAAACTTGTGGCCCGATGGTGCAGTGAGTTAAAGGCCAGTTGTCGGTAGTCAGTAAATAGACAGGTGACAGCAACCTCAGGGAGGCCATATATGGGCACCCATTGCCTCAGTCCTTCTTCACCTTTCTTCACTTTCTGTCCCAGTGCAGTGCTTCACTCCAAGGCAGCATGGGTACACTACTCCCTTTTACAAGAACCAAAAGAACCAGCAACAACAGACGCCCTACCGGTATCCTCAGTGTCAGTATAAGCCATCCTCCTTCCAAAGGAGAAAGAGTGCTATGAGACCTAGGTCTATGAGCCAGCAGCCCCCCTCATAGGGAGCAGAAGTCGCCAAAATTCTAACTACCCATTTGGATGTCCCAGACTTAAGGAAAGATTAGCCAGTTTTTATGGTACATGGCATTCTGTTAGTTCTGATGCTTGGGTTTTGTAAATTGTTTATAAAAGTTACTTTCTTGAGTTCACCTCGCTTACTCCATGTCTCCACCAATGCTCCCTCTAAGCTGTGGAGTCTCGTGAGCAAAAAATCTACTTTGTGAGCTACTGGCATTAAAGTTGTGAGTGAGCCATTTGGCTGCTGCATAAATTAGTTTACTCTGGAGCCATCCTTCCTGAGCTAAGACAAAAATGTGTGAGCTGGAGGCTAAAAAACTGAGCTAGCTCACACTAACTCAGTGTAGAGGGAACACTGGTCTCCACACTTCAACAGCAATTAATAACCAATATCCTGAGCTACAGCATCAACTGAATGAGCTCCTACGTAAACTTGCAGTGGGAAGGTTCCCACAGACCTGCAGTCAAGGGGTTTTCACTCCAGGTTCTTCCTTGTTGGAAAAAAAAATGGAGGTCATAGGCCAATCCTTCATTTGAGAAAATTAAACAAGTTTCTGAAGTTTTCTAAGTTTAAAATAGTTTCTCTTTCATCTGTAATTGAATTTCTCACTCCCACCTCCTGGTTTGCCATTTTAGACCTCAAAGACACTTATTTTCACGTTTCTATTCACTAGGGATTGGCACGGTCCAGAAAAATGGTGGTCCATGGATGTCCGAGGTCCGTGGGGTTTACGGACCCCTGGACCATGAACCTCCATGTTTAACGGACTGGGTCATAGTCCATTTGGTCCGTGACACCATGTCGCTTACAAAGCCATTTAAAGGAAGTGAATGAACTCACTGCTCGGCCTTCACTTGCACGGTGCACAGCTTTGCAAAAGCCATTCCTTTTCAATGGTTTTTGCAAAGCCAAGCGGTGTGCAAGTGAAGGCTGAGTAGAGACTTCCAGGTGTGTGAAATTGCAGCTCGGCCTTCACTTGCGCACTTTCTTTTGGGACCCATAGAATTGCATCCTCTGGTCAAGTCTTTTTGAAACTTGGAGGGTTTTTGAGGAGAGGCACCAGCAGTTATGATCAAGGCTCCCTCTAAGCTGTGGAGTCTTGTGAGCAAAAAATCTTCTTTGAGAGCTACCGGCATTAAATTTGTGAGCAAGCGATTTGGCTACTGCATAAATTAGTGTGTTCTGGAGCCCTCCTTCCTGAGCTAAGACAAAAATGTGTGAGCCGGAGGCTAAAAAACTGTGAGCTAGCTCACACTAACTCAGCTTAGAGGGAACCCTGGTTATGATGCAAATTTGGCACCTCTACCTCAAAAAAAAAGTGCCCCCAGAGCCCCAGATACCCACAAATCAATTCTCCATTATACCCTGTGGGGACCATTGGCTATAATAGTCCCCATAAGGTATAATGGAGCCAAAAAAACTCGGCAATCCCAAATATTTCCTGAATCCTAGTACCATACTGATAGTGAGATTCAGGAATATCGGGAAATGCCAATATTTTTTTAGTTCAATATGCTCGAACATGAAAAATACCTCTTTTTTTTAGCACACTCCTAGTCATGATTCATTTAAGGACTAGGGGTTGTACTGTCTTCCCCTATCTGGATTATTGGATTGCTGTGGCCACCTCTCAGGAGCTCCTGAAGGTACACTTAAATGTGATCCTCTCCACTTGCATGAGATTGGGCTTAGTGGTCAATTGATAGAAATCTCTTTTGAAGCCTTCCCACCAGGTTCAATTTATTGGAGCATCTGTATACTTTATGCAAGTGAATGCCTTACCCCCGGATGGGAGAGAAGACTATTCCATGTCTTTTTACAGAAGAGGTGGCAGTCAGTTAAATCTATCCAACACCTATAAAGCCTTATAGCATCTACCATGGCTGTCGTTCCACTGGGTAGACTACATATGTGTAGTCTCCAGCTTTTGTTCATTAAGAAGAATGACCCTCTAAAGCATCCCCCTGGGCAATGTTTCTCCATTCCCAGATCAATTTTGAGATCTCTTAGCTGGTAGACAGAGGATGCCAATCTTTTCACAGGAGTCCATTGTGGTTTTTGAGTCCCACAGATCACCTTCACTACTGATGCTTCCTTAACAGGCTGGGGTGCCCACTGTGAAGGTTTCTTGGTACAGGGTAGGTGGTCAGCACTCAGTAGAGGCCTTTGCATCAGCATTCTCAAGCTGTTTGCAGTCAGATTCACTCTTTCCTCCTTTCTAGATATCCTCTAAGGCAAAAGGGTGCTTGTTCGAATGGACAACACATCCACCATTTATTACCTCAACAAATAGGAAAGTACAGGGTCTCAGAGGCTCTGTATGGACGCCATTGTAGTTTTGGATGTGGCTATAAGTATCAGAATTCTCCCCAGGGCTATTCACATTGCGGAAATCCTGAACTCCATGGCTGACAGCTTAAGTATGGTCTATCTTGATTCAGCCCAAATATATTCAGGGAATTTCTGAGGTGTGGGGTGGACCTCTTTGCCACATGCGAGGAAGTGGCCACAGGTTTTTTTCCCTATCAGGCAGTGATCCAAACTTGTTGGGAGATGTATTCCAAATTCCTTGGTTGGGGGCCCTGTTCTATGCCTTCCCTCCCTTTCCCCTTCTGAAGAGTTTTATCAGGAAGCTGATAGCAGAGGGCTCATATTGTATTCTGATAGCCCCTTTTTGGCCACACCAAATTTGGTTTTCCAAGCTCTTCTCCACCTTGCAGGGGCAGAGTACATCATCCTTCCTCCAGCCCCAGATTTGCTTGTAAGGGGCCTATTCTGCACCACAATGTGACCTTCTTACACCTTACAGCATGGAGGA